AGTTTGAAGACCCTTGTCATAGAAGGAAGCAATGGAGGGCTGCATTCCCACACAGTCTAAAAGGATGCAAACGACCAGCTGTCTGCAAGGAATATAAATCCTTCCCTTCCCCACCATCCAGTCAGTGCTGAAGAAGCTTCTTGGAGGAGAAGCAAAACGTCTTCGAAAGAAAAAAAACTAGAAACTCCAGTTGTCTCCTGAAAAAAAAAAAGCACCTTTGGGACAACCATGACCCGGATGAGTGAGAATCTCTATAGACATTTAGCTATGCGATTTGGGATGAACACCCTTTGAATGATGTGGGAGTAGGAATGGGTTTCCAGAGGAAAAAATTGCAGACTACAGGAACCAGGAGCGCTACTCAGGTGACCCTGAGGATACAGATAAACCTCCAAGTAGCCTCAATAACCCTCTAAAAGGATGCAAATGACCAGATGCCTGCAAGGAGTATCAATCCTTCCCTTCCCCGCCATCCCATCAGAGCTGAAGAAGCTTCTTGGAGCAGAAGCGAAACGTCTTCAAAGTAAAGTAAAACAAGGAAGTCCAATTGCCTCTTGAAAAAAGCATGACCTGGATGACTGAGAATCTCCATAGACATTCACAGAATAGATGTAACCCAGGTCAAGGAAAGATGTAATCAAGAGTTCATATGACATCCAATCTTTAGATTAAGGTTGATCATGGTTAGCATATATATGTAGGTGGATGGAACACAGCCTGTTTCATTAGTTTAGGATTGAAAAGGTTAACTCAATAACTGAGTTCAGCATGCTGTGGGCATATAACCCCTAGATCTGGGTTGATATCTATCTGTTCTTTCACTTGCGAATTGGGGTTACATTAGATCCAACCTGCATTATGTTTCCAGTTTAACCAGTTCATTTGTCCAGATGGTTCACTGAGATCAAAGGTGATGACAACAGGCAAGGATTGGGTAGCTTAATTGAACAGAAGTTATTCATTGACCTATTCCATTCATGAATATGCCATTCATCTTCCCCTTCAGACTGTTGGGCCATTCTGCGACATTAGAATGTCAAACCAACATTGCTTCTGCTTCATAGTAAATTGGCCATTAAGATCAAGTGAGATGAGGAACTTGAAGAGCTTCAAGAAGTTTGCAAGTGAGAGAAAGCAGGTCAACAGAGTTTAACTCAAAAGGACTGTCTTCCTTTTTTTTTGGAGAAGGTTTTCTTGCCTCTTCTAGGTATGTCTAGTTAGATGAAAAGAAGGACGGGGGTAACATGATAGCAGTGTTCCAATATCTCAGGGGCTGCCACAATGAAGAGGGAGTCAAACTGTTTTCCAAAGCATCTGAAGGCAGGACAAGAAGCAATGGGTGGAAATTAACTAAGGAGAGAAGCAACCTGGAATTAAGGAGAAATTTCCTGGTAATGAAAACAATTGATCAGTGGAATGGCTTAGAACAAGGGTCTTCAAACTTGGCAAGTTTAAGACTTGTGGATTTCAACTCCCAGAATTCCTGAGCTAACATGGCTGGAGGGGGAATTCTGGGAGTTGAAGTCCACAAGTCTTAAAGCTGTCAAGTTCCCCTGGCGTAGAAGAACATAAAACAACAACAACAACCCCGAGATGGTAGCCACAACAACATTCTTTTCTATATCCACTGTGGATATCTCTGTGTTCCAGGAGAACTAACAACAGGTAGTCCTCAACTTATAATATTTAGTGACTATTGTATTACAATGGCACTGAAAAAAGTGACTTAGGACAGTTCTTCACACTTATGACCTTCGTAGCATCCCTATGATCACGTGATCAAAATTCAGACGCTGGGCAACTGGTTCATACTTACGACTGTTGCTGTCTCCCGGGCTCACGCAATCCCCTTTTGCGGCCTTTTGACAAGCATAGTCCACGGGGAAGCCAGATTCACTTCACACACCCCAGTTCCTAACTTATCAACTGCAGGGATTCCTTTAACAACTGTAGCCAGAAAAGGTTGCAACAACGGGGCAAAACTCACTCAGCAAATGTCTCACTCAAACCACCGAAATGTTGGATTCAGTGATGGTCACAAGACACAGGAGTGGGCTTGCTGGGGGTTTGCAGGGGTTCGGGAGAGCCCCTAGATAAGATTCTGTGTAGTTCGGAGAATCCTCCAAATACCACTCCTAGCTGGCCCCGCCCACCCCTCCCCTTCCCCACGCGGCCCATTTTGGATGCGGGTAAGTGCAGGGCATGCGTGGAGGCTCAGGAAGGGCAAGAAACGGGCCTCCCGGAAGTTTGGGAGACCGGAAATGGGCCCGTTTCCGGCTTCCAGAGAGCCTCCGGAGCTCAGGGAGGCCGTTTTCACCCTCCCGGAGGTTCGAGAAAAGCCTCCGGAGCCAGGGGAGGGCAAAAGCGTCCCCCCCACACACCTGCTGTGGTGCAGGAGGCAAACTAGGCCACGCCCACCCGGGAACCGGGCAGAGAACCCGTTGCTAACTGTCAGCTCTGAGATTCAGCTGCCAAGATTGTTATAAGGAATGCAAGGGGTGTGTGTGTGGAGAAGTTAGAAAGTTCAAGGTTATTTCGTATGCGATTAATGAAGTGTGAAAAGTGGGAGGAGAGAAGGTGGATTTTGTGAAACGGGCTGAAAATGACTTTCAGTTTGGAAATTGACTAGAAAGACCAGAGCTGTCCCTAATAAATCGGTTGGAGATTATACTTGTCTCAGAGTGATTGATTACAACAGACAATTCTGGATGCCTAACACTAATATTTTTGAAGCCCACCCCTTCTGACTGCATGAAACCGGAAGAACCGAAGGCTGAGCAAGAGGACGGAGAGAAACTGCCGCTTACCTAAACATTCGTTGGCCTCCCTGGCGGTGGCCCTCTGCCAGGGACGGTCGTAATGGAAGGGTTTGCAGCGGTCGCACTCAGGCCCTTCGGTGTTGTGTTTGCAGTCGCACACCAGCTTGCCTTCCTTGTCCTTCACGCAGCGCGAGGCGTGCCCGTTGCACTTACACCGCCCCCCAACCTGGAATTCCCCCACCGCATAATAATAGGAAGACGAGCTTCCTCCGCCCTCCTCATCCTCGTGGTCCCGTCCTCCGAGTTCCCGGAAGAGATGAGGACGGCTGAAAATGACCCGGATATCGGTGGCCGTCACCCAGTCTTGGAGGACAGGGCTGTTGTCAAAATCTTGAGCAGACGGGCGCCCGTCCAACGTGCTGAAGGCGATGAGCCCGCCGGTCAAGGGGTAGAGATCGGTGTGGCCATCTGTACACAGGGCCTCCTGCTCGTTCTGCTTGGTGACCGTGGCCTTGTTGGGCTTCCCGTAGATCTTCCGGCATTGGGAGGAATAGTATTGATAAGGGACCCAACTCTTGCCGTAATCCATGGACTTGAATACAGCGGCCGATTCCGGACGAGGTGAGCAGAACTGGAGGCTGACGTAGATGACCTCAAACTTCTTGGCCAAGGAGAGGGTGAGGCTGACGTTGTGAGGAGAGTGGTGCAAAGTCTCCGAGCGCCAGCAAGTCATGTTGGCCGCCGTGTTGAGGTCTGTGAGATAGGATGCTGGGTGAGCTTTCCGGGGTTCTGACGCATCACAGTGGCGCGTCGGCGGCTTCCCGCACGTGCTGGAGGCATGGACGTCCTTGCCAAAGGCTGCGTTGACGAACTCTGGGATGCAACGGCGAGGGGCCCCTTTTTCGTCATAGCAAGGATCTGGTGGGATCTGCTGCACGGCAAAGGGGTTAACGCCCTGGGAGAAGTCCAGCCTACAGAGGAGCAGGAGCAGGTATACACCAGCTACGGAGCCCATCCTGCCGCAGGGTCTTCTGGAGCCCCCCCGAAAACAGCTTCTCTCTGAAGGGGCAAAGCAAAGAAAGTGTTGAAAACAGAGTCGGTTCCCCAGGGCTGGTGGGAGGAAGAGCGGGAGATGCTCAGGAGGTATGAGGAGGCTGGAATCGGGGAAGGTGGACTAGAGAAGTTCAGGCTAAAGACTTGCAAATGTTTGGAAAGGGAGCCTGGTGGAGAAATAGATCACCTGCTAATGCATGGCTAGGAGCAAAAAATCGTGGACTGAAGTTCAGGTGAAAGAAAGAAAGAAAGAAAGAAAGAAAGAAAGAAAGAAAGAAAGAA